GTATTAGAAAATCAAAAATATTTTAATATTAAAAAATTTTATTAAATGTTCTCAAATAGAGAACATTTTTCAATAATCCATGTTCATAAAAATTGTTAAATGTTCTCTGAGAACACTGAGAACATCAAATTTTAAACACTGTCTACAACTATCTTAAGATTCATATACATGTTGCTTCTTTAATATCCATAAGCTTTTCATAAACTATATGTTTAATCTCTTCGGATTTTATGGCATTTTTTTTGCTTACAAATATCATTTAAAATTTGGTTTTCACGTTTTCTTTTTCAGCTTTCATTTATACGGTTTGAACACCCAAAGAATGTTTTTAGATTACTTTGAAATGCAATAATGGGCTTTATAATTCGACAAGACGAACAAAAGTTTGGGTTTTCTATTTTAGGATATTAAAGAAAGCGTAAATATTATTATTATTTATCAAATGCTGTCATTATTGTATCAATCATTAATTCTAATGTCGGCAAATAAATTTAAAAATAAATTACGTATATGAACTGGGTGGCGATAAAATTAAATGAGAGTTTGAAAAATCTTATTTGGTTTTCAAAGATTTTAAAATCGGAAAATTTTATAATATAATACTTCGTAAAAAAAAAATATTAATATAACAATAATGCAATGTTGTTAACTATAAAATTATATCTTTATTATCGAAATTTATATTGCTTACAAATTTTTAAAATTCTATTTCTACTTAAGTTGTTTTAAGAATTCCACAACATATATCGATATAAGAAATAATAATTTTGATAATTTTGTGACGAAAGATTTCATCCACAAGAAGAAGACACTTTATCGTTGTCGTGAAGGAATTTCAAATCAACAGGCGTGCTATCGAAGAATGTACGGCCTTGAAAATCGCCGATCAAATGTCGAAGAAGGAATGCCGTTAACCGTAGATAGGGTTCTCCCTTGGAAATCACCAACGCCATTAAATGTCGAAAAAGCAGATAAAGTACGTCCTTGAAAATCACCGCCGTGTTGAAACTTAATTTTAATTAAGTATCCACGTAATACTTGATTTCAAGTAGAAACAAACGTACTACTCTTCATTAGCAGAAAAAACATATGTGAATGATTTTCCATTTTCTAACAAGTGAAGAGAATCAAAAAAAAAAAAGAATATACTAAGCTAACCTAACACGAAACTCCATTTTCACCTTCCAATTCTGCACCGCTCTCGCTATTTCCTTCGCTTGGCCGTATGCGTCGCATAATCAATCCAAGATAATTTAAATCTATCATCGTCTAATATTCTCTTAACCGTATGCGTCGTATAAACCAAGATAATTTAAATCTATTATCGTCTAATATTCTCTTAAGTTCAGGATTGATATTATCTGGTGATTTATTAGTTTTCACAAGACTTTAGCGTTACTTCTCAATTCCGGGTCTCTACATTCGTAAACCGTGTGTCTTGTGCTTGTAAGGACAGAGTCTGTAAGCTGAAGTACCTATACCTGTACGACACGTCAGTCCAGAAAGACAAGCCACGCATACTCAACGAACTGAAGATTTCTGTACAAATCAAATAGAAAGACAAATATAAAAATCCGATTGGTCAATTACGTTCCAAATCTTATCACGTGATTAATATACATACCAGATACGTATCAGTTAAGTGGTACGACCAAAATTAGTATAATTTTCATACGTACGTACGGTCGAGTAAAAACTTCATTCACAGAATGAAGGTTAACTAACTCATTGAAGATAAACTAAATTTGTCATTCTCACTGCATGCTATTTGCATATATATTGTTTTTTGCTTATTATTTTTATGCAAATACTAGTTTTATGTATCATTTCTACAAAAATATTGGGGTTTTTAAACTTCCTGCACCGTACGTACGTCCGTCTTAATCTATACTGCAGTACAGTACTATTTCTCTCACTAAATTGTTTTTTAACTTAACAAAAAAAGATTAACTATTGACAAAAAATCTACATACTCTAAAAAAATAATTTATTTCGCATTTTAACATACTATTAATCAAGTTTAAAATATAGAGTTTACTAATTTCTAAAAGATACAGGCTACATGTGGCATTGTTATATAAAACTATCGCTATGCGATTTGGTTTAATCACACTAAATTACATAGTTTCCGTGTCCCTGATCTTCGCTCAAAATTTTGAAAATAATTCGGCGCAGATAGACGTTTTTTGACTTTGAGCGAAGGTATCCCGATGACCACCTGATGATTTTTTTTTTTGAATTCTATCAATCTATAGAATTCAAATAAAAAAAAATTCATTGAATTTGGTCAGGTGGTCGTCGAGATATCTTCGCTCAAAGTTTAAAAATAATTCGGAGCAGCTTCTTATTTTTGGTAGGCGTTTTGATTTTTCTCTGACTTTGAGGATGACAACCTGACCAAATTTGATAATTAACTTTATTTGAATTCTACGATTCTATAAAATTCAGATAAAAAAAAAAATTCATCGAGATTGATTAGGTGGTCGTCGAAATATCTTCACTCAAAAGTTTTAAATATAATTCGGTACAGCTTCTATTTTGATAAACGTTTTGATTTTTCAACTTTGAGCGAAGATATCTCGACGGCCACCTGACCTAATTCAATAATTTTTTTTTTTATTTGAATTTATGAATCTGTAGAATTCAAATAAAAATTTTTATTGAGCTTAGTCAGGTCGTCACTGAGATATTTTAAAGTTTAAAAAATTTATTTTTCCGGAAAAGGTGGGGAGCACTAAAACATTAACGAAAATAAGTACTTCTGGTACAACCAAGAAAATTTTTGTTCGGTACTTTATTCTCAAGAGAATAAAATTTTGCGGAAACCTACATTTACAAGCTTGTAATTTTAAAATATACCCAACTCTGTTCAAAATTCCTTAATTACATTCTGGGCCGCGATTTTTACTTTTGTTTAAAAAAATAATTGACACGAACATTTGAATGTTTCAAATTCATTTTATTGATATTGATACAATACTGTAAATGTAAATAAGTACATACTTTATCTGAAATCGGACGGTGAATCATTAATTCTGAAACCCCAATATAATAATGTAACTCAGTTCTCAAAAGTCATTTCCCGAAAGGAAATAATTAGTCAGTATTATGTTCTTTCGGGAAAATAGCTTTGATAAAAAAAAAGCATAATCATATATCTGTTTTTTCTCATGATTAGCTTTCCTATCGTACAGTAGCCCTGATATTTACTAAGTTGCTAAATAATTAGTAAATGTCATGGCGATGGCCAGCACCCCCTGTATCTGTATTGATGGGGTTCTTTCTATTTCAGTGTTGCTTAGTGAATAAACGTTCTTAGTGACAAACCGTTTCTCTTCTTGTGGTAACGTAAGGTTTCGAGGTGGTAGTGCCTGGTAAGATACACCAGTGCCAAGTGAGTGCTCAGACTTAGTGGGAATGAATCCAAGACCCTATAATCAAGAATCTTCGTGACAAACAAAGACCTGGGTAGACGAAAGTTTTACTCGCTTTTCGTTAAAATACTCCGTGGACAAAGTTGTGTTTGAGGAATATCGGTAATTGAGTTGAAAGTTGTGTGATCAAAGTGCATCATACAGTGAGCGTGTAATTTCAAGGATATTATTAGTGAAAGTACAGCAAACGAATAAAAGACAAAAAAAAAAAAAATCGGACGTTACCTGAGTGGTGAAATCGAAGAGGATGAAAGATAAAATCATTAGTTGAAAGTATGATCGGATTAGTAGTTGAAATGGTGGAGTCTTTGAAGAAACGACAAATTAAAAGGAAACGCTACAGACCTCGGCTATGCTATGTATGTCGACGTTAAGGACATTTAGCCCGTTCTTGCCCGGATCAAGCTAAACGTGAACGCCAGGAACAAGCTATGGACGTTGTTATGCTTAATATGGAATATGGAAATATATTAAATCTATTTTTTTTTATTTTACGTATCATCTTTTACGTTTTTCTATTTTTTATTTTTTTGTATTACGAGATCGGTAAACCACATCGACTAGGAGATCGATCATTAGTTACGAACTATCGGCATTGGCTATCAAAGTTAATAACTATTGGGACTGGTAATTGATAGTTAATAACTACCAAGGAAAGTAAAGAAATAACGGCAAGAGTTTATAACTACAATAAAAAGTAGGGGAAATTACAAATAAGGGCCCAAAACTGAAAATAATTACAAATAAGGGCCCAAAATGAAAATAATTACAAATA